CATCATTAATTCAGAACTTAGCTTTGATGGGTGGATCTGGCCCTACATTGTAGGAAGTTTCACCCACCAGTTAAGGCCTAAGCCAGGATGTTCTCAGTGCATCAGGTAATTCATGGATAACCATAAAAGAAATGACTTGGTGTTATTACTATCTCACCTTTCAGAGCAGGCTTCTGCTTAATGGTATTAGTGAGCATTACAGGAAAGCCCTCTACTAATGCATTAGCCCTAAGGGACACCCCACCCCCAACTTCTTCACTGCTTGCCTTAGAATATCCTGTGCTCTCACGGACAAGATCTAGAATTCTACTTTACTCCACAATTTTGCCTTCTCCCACTTCTTGGGGCCAGGACACCTTGATTTTATCTCCAACAATAAGACACTGTACCCCTCTTTGAAGGTGATAACAGATGGCCATCTCTCCCTCTTCTAAGTATCATCAGCATTCATTTACATAATTTACTTGGCTCTAAATGGTCCTAAGTTATCTTTAAGCATAATGCTAGAAGCTACTGTTAATATGAAGCAGAAACTTTATGTGGTTATCTTGGATGTATGCATATCATTATTACCATTTTGTAGAAAAGAAAATTAAATTTCAAGAGAGAGGTAACTTGGCCATAGTCATTTTTCAGGTTAGTGATGGTACTCACATTCTAATTTTGGTCCAACTGATAACCACTGCACTACAGCTTCCCTAGTAAGGTTTTGGAGGGCTGGATCTTTTATGGTCTCAAATCACTCCGTATCCCCTTTCTTATAACTCTAATTGTATACACAATTAGGCTGTGAGGTCCATGGGGACAGGGTGGTGTCCATCTTATTTTTCACTGCATCTCTACTGCCTAGTGGCATTCCTGGTATAAAGAACTAAATATCTGCAGTGCCTCCAGTTCCTAGAACTGCACCTTGGTGTTTACTAAAGAGCATTTGTACCTTTTATTTGTAAGTATAAAGTGTCCATTCCAATTATTTATGAAACAAAGTCAACCTCAAAACTAAAGAAAGGGAAAGCAAAATCTTTCCTATTTAAAGTATTTACTGTGCTCAAGACACATATAAAGTCTTCTCTTCTGATAATGCTTATCACCTAAAATTAGTGTCATATACATACGTATCTATCTTCCAATAGATCACATATAAAAACATTTGTCTATGTATTATTTAGGAACACTTACTATTAAGAACAAATATTATTTAGTGGAGATCTTGAAATGTAAAAGCTTCTGATAGTATGTTTATTATTAATTAAACCTTTGACAGTATAAAAATGGCTAATAAGAACTGTGTCCCTATAGTGATAATATACCAGCCCCAAATTAGAATGATTAAATCCAGTGTGGTGCATTCATGCAATGGAATACTGTATAGCAATGAAAATGGATGAATCATTGTACATCCAACAGTAGAGATGATTATCACAACAGACCTTTGAGTGAAAGCAGTCAGATGCAAGAAAGTGTATTAAAAATAAAAGTCTATTTACATAAAGTTTAAATATAAGCAAAACTCATCTCTGGTGTTCAATTCAGAATATTTTGATTGCTCTGGCCATGGACGAAGCCTCTGGGATGCTGCTAATGTATTTCTTGACCTGTGTGGTAGCTTGCAAGTGCTTACTTTGAGAAATTTCATTAGGGTTTTACAACTTGTGCAATTTTCTGTGTCATATTTTAATAATAGTTCACTATTTTAAAAGTTCTTCATAGTATCTATATTGGTGGATATGTATATATATGTATGTGTATACATATATATTTTTAAATATACTTATATGTGGACTCCTATACAACATTCCTTTTCTTTAGTGACTTTACTATTTATTTGCTTATGTTTGTGTATCCCAGGAACTAAGTGAAAGACTACCCAGCCTTCCATTAACTGTTTGTGGGTTAGAGGTTGAAATTCAAACATTTACTCAAACACATCCAAAACACATATGTGGCTTAAATGTGGATTTTCTTAGCCTTGCATGAATGTCATATTCATATCTTGATGTACTCCACACTTTAGTGACATAAAGGAAATAAGCATTGGTCATAGAATAACTTACATACAAATCTTATTAACTTGATTGATCAAAACTTCAGCTAAAAAGAAATGGAAGAAGCTAAGTTACAGAGATACTTTGCCAAATAACATTTTAAAAACAATTTTTAGCCCTCTTGAGTGCTAAATTTTAACCATTTAGGTATATTTTAGAACATAATTCACATTTTCCCACCAATATTTTCCACATTATGTTGAAGGTGAGAACTGTAATAACCCATTTTAATAATAAAATTTTATTGAAATATATTGCACAGTTAAAGTGTGTGTGTGTGTGTGTGTGTATGAGAGTGTGTGTATGAGAGAGAGAGAGAGAGAGGGAGAGAGAGAATTTTTTCCTGGTGCCAATTATTCAAAAATTTCCATCATATTTGCATAAGTGAATCCAGTAATCTCTAATGCAGACCTCCACATGTGCAGAATGTGCCACGCACTCTCCAACGGCCCTGCAACGGTCTGAGAGGAACAGTGAACTGGTCCCCTGTTTAAAAAGTTTGAGAACCCCTGCTCTAGTGTCATAGTCAATGTGTCCAAATTGTATTCTAATAGTTTTTAAAAGACTGACATCTTCCTCCAACTTACTCTGAATCTAAGGGACCACTTCATTGTCAACAACAACAATACTAATAATAAAGTCCAAGTTCATTAAACAAAGATAGTATGAGCTACAGGAGAGCGTTAATAATCTGAGATGAAGACAGTAAAAAAAAAAAAGGACAAAAAAAAAAGGTCTAGTTCTCCTCTAGATCTCCTCTCTTTCTCTCTCTCTTTTCTCCATAAACTCCGCAGGAACTTTGCAGAGTGGAGGGACACCCTAGGGGGAAGCACGAAAGAGCTTGAAAGAGGTTTCCTGTTCCAGCCTGACCCCAGGTCTCTTCGGGGAGAGATGCGAGCGGCGCTTTCTGGGCATCGGTCCGCCGGGAGGTGGGGGACCAGGTGGCAGGCGGCCTCCCCAGGCGCCGGGCACCGGCTCCCGCGTCCCCTGCCCCGGGACTTACCAGGAGCGCGCAGCACAGCCACTTGTTCATCGTGGTCCCCGGAAACCTCAGGCGCTCGGAGGCGGCGGCGGGGCGAGCGGCTCGGTGCGTCTCTCAGCCGGTGCACTCACACGTTATATATAGCGTCCCGGCAACAGGAAGTGTCGCCTGCCTTTGATCAGTCATTTTTCTATCCTGGACCAAACTTTACACCTTTCTTTTTTAGGAACCTTGGGCGGGAGCAGCAGGGGGCGCAGAAACCTCCAGGGTTAACGCTTTCGGAGCCAGGGCGGGGAGGGTCCCCCGCAGGGGCGGGGCGAGGGGGGCGGGGCGGGTGTGTCTGGCCCCGGGAGCGGGTGGGGGGAGCCGCGGAGCCGCCGGGCTGCGGAACAAGGCGGCTGCTGTCTCCGCGGGGCTCTGAGGTTTCCCGGCCCCTTCCCGCCAGCGGCCGGCCTCCTGGCCAGCGGGCCCGGCGGTGGGAGGGCCGGGCACTCGCTGGGTAGCCGCTGCGCTCGTCTCCTCCACCCCGAGCGTCCGATTCAGCCAAGATCCGGACGCAGCTGGAGCGCGTCCCAGACACTTTGTCCCCTCTCTGGGAGAAAGCGGAGTTTCCGCCCTGCCCCGCCATCTGACCCCTTCTCTGCGGATTCTGAGAGCTCGAATAACAAGGCCTCTCATTTATGCATTGCATTGTCTGGGAGCAGTGCTCTCTCGGGAGTTTGCAATTATGAATCTCCAGGTTTACATGAACTCTGTAGAAGGAACTTTTCTGTCTCGTGTCTGATGGACCCTAAAGCTTGTGCTTTCACCCATTCACTTCTTGTTGTCTGGGGTAGTTTAGAGTAAGAGAGCGTCAGCAGGGTGAAAACTTACTGCCTAGCACAGGAAAAACTTTGCTGGCCACTATTTGCTCCACCAACACCTTGGTTATTAAAGGGCTATTGGTAGCTCTGCTGTCGCTACACACTGAGCTCGTGGAGTAGCCTTCTCAAGATCATTCTGCTGTCCCCAAGATGTTGGCAGAAGTTTGGCGCTTTGCACAGAGGGTTCTTGTCTCCCCTCATCCCACCAGCAGCTTGCCTGGGAGTTGGACTTGACGTCTAAAGTGTATTCCCATTCCCAGCTCCTCCATGTGGCTTCTGGATTAAAGTTCTCAGGTTGCCACCAAAACCCTCTATTTACAGATGGCTGAAAAAGTCCCTGCAGAGCGGCTTCCCCATAGAGGCCGAGGGGTGAGTTATATGTCTCCAGGGAAGGGTGCATTCTGCTTTTCACCAGAGTTCAGGAGGAGGAAGGGGAAAAATCAGGAAAGGAGCACCCTGGGGAGCAAGGATTGCCAACAGGGATCAGAGCATCTGCCACTTCGTGTGGACATCCTTCCACCACAAATTCAAAGTGGATCCGTGGACCAAGCAGAAAATACTTAGAGGAAAAGAATGCCAGCTCTTCCACTCTGTGAATTACAGAAGACTAGGGTCTTACTCAGCTTTCAGGGCTGTAACATAACAGCATGTTGATTTCTTAAGTGAACTAGTGAAAACACGTAAGTCAGTGAGTGTGGACAAAGTTGTAGCACTCTAGACCAACCCCTCATATTTTAAACTTCTGTAGTTTTGACATCTACAACCTGAGATTCTAACATTAAACTTACCATGGGACTCAAGTAAATTCAAATGTTGGTAGTAAAGCATTATATAAATAGCAGTGTTATTGTTTTTGTTAGAGTAATATTTGTCTAGGAAATCATTTGAATTATCGCAAATTATCTCAAAACATAATATGCTGCCAATGTCTGTGAGTCAGACCTTGAAGAAAATGAATCAAGGATTGAGTCCTTCAGTGTTAACCCTGGGAAGGGTTCATGTCTCTCTAAGACTCAGTTTCTTCATCTATAAGAAAAAGCAATACTGATATTGCAGAAATGTGGGAAGAAGAAAATGGAAGCATTTTGAAGGTATTATAGAAATGATAATGATACTTGTGAGCATTAAGTAAAGTAATGCTTGTAAAATAACTCAGCACAGTGTCTGGCCACAGGAAATATTTACTAAATCATAGTTATGATTATTCTAGGGGAGTACCTAAGATACTGGTCTTGGGAGCCAGACACTGAGAGTTGAGCCCCACCTCCACTTCTTCCTAACTCTGTGATGTCAGACTAGTTACCTAACCTATTTGTGTTTGTTTTTTAATCTGTCTCTATGCTGAGAATAATAATCACATCTACCTCATAGAATTATAAAGGTTATTATGACAATTGAATTAAGTAAATGTAAAGCACCCCAAATAGTGTCTAGCACATAGTAAGTGCTCATTAAGTGTTGGTTATTATTATTATCATCTGAGGTTCTCATGGAGATATTTATACAATCACAAGGTGAATCTAGATTATAAACTCCTGAGGATGGGAACCATGTATTTTCCTATGGTATTCCCTGACGCTTTTAGCCCAATCTCTGGCTCCCTGTAATTACTCAATAAATAATAGAGTGATGGTGGTGATTGGGAGGGTTGTTAATTAGCTGTAATCTCGAGACATATGGGGGTATCATTCATCTAGAATCCCAAAATAGACTGTATATTGACTATGTACCTCGGGGCCTGACTATGAGCCCTTTATTAATCACCCACTGACAGGAAACTGACAGAGACTATGAGTTATCGGTCATTTCACTTGTTATATTCCTGGAACAATCTGGCCAACCCCCCAGGGTATTACCTAGTGATCTACCACTGTGGGTAGCAGACCCTGAACACTCTGAGCTGGAGTTCATCTTAAGATTTAATTGGAATGGACCTTGGGCTTCTTGACTGAACCCAAAGGGGAACAGTTGAACAGTAACTTGGCAGACTACATTCATCTTCCTGTGACAGATCCTTCATTGGCAGAAGCCATTGGTGACATTAAGCAGAGTGTCCCATAAATTCAACCTTCCATTTCTGCACATCAGATATGTGCGTAGATAACTTTCTGGGAAACACCTCATCAGATATACTTCATCTTCTCTTTCCCAAAACTCTTTGGAATTAGGCCCCATGTTGAAAGCATTTTCATGGACCATATTTCGGGTTGCCCCCCCCACCCCCGACAACATACTGTCCGCCCCCAATCCCTCCATTTCAGCCACTCCTAAAGCTTAGAGAAATGGTCCCTGAACATTGGGAGCTCCCAATGGGAAAACGCTTCATCTCTTTAGCACAGCAGCATAGCTCCTGATCCAGGAGGTTATTTATAATCCTCAGCACAGTGGAAATACCTGAAACTCAGGACAGCAATTGATTTAGGTGATTTGGGAGACGAGGCGAGGCATGCAGCGGGCTCTGAGGTGACTGATCAAGTGTCCTCTCTAGAACATCTTGTGCCTTCTCACCTCCAAATTACAAATGCTAGTTCTGAGGTTATGCATATGAAAGGATATTTACTTGAAGAACAGGAATATATTCATTGTTATTTCATTGTTATTAAAAAGAAGCTTTATTCTGACTTAATAATAGCAACAGAGGGGTAGGAGGAGAAATATTGTGCAGATAACCTATTGCTTTCCTTTTATTTTATTGACGTTTGCCATTTCATTAAGAAACACAATTTTAACTGTATTGATATTCTAGCCAAAGCTATCTGAATTTACAGGCATTTTAGACTGTGTCTAGAGATGAATGTGTACTTGCTTTAACAAAATACTGTGTAGAAAGGCAATGTTTTCTAGCTGACACACTTCCTGATGGAATAAGTCACCGGTTGTTTAAGGATCTGCCTGAGTGTGGGACCAGGGGTCAATGGCTGCTAGTTATGATTCGTCACTCATGGTAATGTGGTGCTGCCATAGATACCATTCATTAAGATAGCCCTTTTTTGAAAATAGGCCTTAATCAGGCAATCACACAAATATATAAACAGGACTGTTTGTTCCATAGAAAGAAATAAGTTGCAATAGGAACACCAGATCCTGTGTGGCTTTTAACCAGAGCTCTGAAAAGCAAGTTTGTTAATGAGTGCTGAGCAAATCAAAGAAGTGAGGAAGAAGAGACTTCCGGCAGGAAAGCGTGTCAGCAGGCCATCAGACGGGAAGAAGCAAAGTGTGATTTCAAGGAACTGGAAGAATCCCTGTACACTGGTGTGTGGAAACCAAGGCATTACATGAACTGGAAGAGGCTGGAGAGGTGAGTAGACAGTGATCCAGCTGCCAAGTATAATTAATTCCAGTCTTTCTCCAAAGAACCATATGAAACACTGAGGGTTTTAAGCATGGAAGTGTGTCTCAGTCAGTTTGAGCTGCTGTAACAAAATACCATAGACTGGGCAGATTGTAAGCAACAGAAATTTATTTCTCACATTTCTGGAGGCTGGAAGTCAAAGATCAGGATACTGGCATGGTCAGGTTCTGTTGAGGGCCCTGTTCTGGCTTGGAGACTACTGACTTCTCCTTGTAACCTCACATGGCAGAAAGAGGGTAAGAGACTCTCTGGAGTATCTTTTATAAAGACATTAATCCTATTTGTGAGGGCTTCACCCTCATGACTTAATCACCACCCAGAGCTCCTCATCTTAATGCCATCACAGTGGGAGTTCAGATTACAACATGTGGATTTGGGGGAGACACAAACATTCAGTCCCTAACAGAGTAAGATGATTGTTACAACTGCTATGGGGTATAATTCTCCTAATCTTACCTTGCTAACATCTCAGAGTCATGAATACAAACATAGATGTGTAAGAGAAAACTCTTTTAAACTACAAATCAAAGTCAAATTGGCAACATATCTGGGTGGAGAAGTTGGGAAATAAGGACTAATAAACTCAACAGACCATATAGCAAAGGATCTATTGTTCTGATCAACTTAAGGAAGAGACACAACTACTTGTTTATAAACTTTTCTGCAAATCACTCCAGTCACTCTAACTGGAGTTTCCTGAACTGCAGATATTCATCTAGTGCCTACTCAGTCCCAAGAAATTGCTTCATTAATTAAACAGTGATGCATATCCCAAATAACCACTCACCTGAAGGCTTCTGACAAATATTTATATCAACAGAGTGTTAAAAAATACCACATGCCCATTCAAGTTTCTTCCTCAAAAAATCCTTGATGAAATTTGGTTTTCTCTAGTATTAATTCAGAAATTCTCTTCTTCTACCAACCCCCATGCAGTTTTTCTGCACCTGGCCGCTGAAGACATGATAGATAAGTACCCTTACAACTAGTCCCTTTTAGTCAGTTAGGCATTTCTGTCTGGGAAAGTCCCCTCCTCAACTAAAACAAACCTTTGGAAACAGAAGTTTCAATGAGATAGTTTTCAGGGAAACTCGCTTCCAAGAGTGAATTGTTTCCTGAAACAAGGGTTTGCCTATAAAAGGCTTAGCCTAAAGGAACATTTTTAGGAGAATTTTAAACTAAAGAGGGCAGTGGAGTTACATAATGTTCAGTGAAAGGATACCATTAACAAAACAGGAAAGAAAGTCTGTCTGAGAATGGGTACAATGCATACCATATGGGTGATGGACACACAACTTTGGCTCAAACTGTACAAAAGCAATTCAAGTAACCAAAACATTTATACCCCCATAATATTATGAAATTAAAAAAAAGAAATGAAAGTCTGTCTCAGCACCAAAAATATGTATATTCATTTATTCAGCAAATGTTTATTTAGTATCTACAGCGTGCCAGGCACTGTGCTAAGTACCCCTGACATGGACAGAAAAGTCATCATACTTCTAAAGTTTATAGTCAGGTTAGAGAGATAGAGTCATCGAGTCAACCTAGAAATAAACTCTTCAGATGGTAATAGGATAATTTCAGAGAGGTGAATTCCCATTACACAAATTAGTGCAATGGTGAGTGGCTAAGAAGGACTCTTTTAGATGAGCTTCTTATGGAAGGGCTTTCTGAAGGAGCAACTTTTGAGCAGGTGACAGAGGTAAAGGGAAGAGCAAGTGAAGTGGCCCAGATGACCAAAGTCAGTGAAGTCAGAACCAAGGGCAGTAGAAGGAGAGACGACCTTACATGGCCAGAGAGCTGGGCAGGGCTACAGAGTCAGAGTAAGGTTTTGTCACTTGAGTCTACTGAAAATAGGAAGCCATTGGCATGTCTTAAATGTGAGTGGAGTGGTTTTACATACATGTTAAAGGGTCACTTTTGGTGGTGGTCATGTGGCTAGAGTCGAAGCAGGAGAACTACTGGGTGAAAGTCCCCTGGAAATCGCCATTGAATGCTTAGATCTGGAGAGGTTGAGAAGTGACTAGTAGTTCTATGATTTATATCGAGAGTCTTTGGTTAAGTCACTCTGAGCCTCTGAGTTTCATAGCCTGTAAAATGAATATTCTAATTACCTAATGAAGCCATATATGCTTCATAAAGCTACTAGGAGACTCCGACAATGGAAGTGAGGGAGTTCCTAAGTCCCAAAGTGCTATGTGAATTTCCATCACTACTAATACAGAACATTTACTTGGATTCTATGTTCTGAGTTAGTGCCCAATGTGTCTAGAAGAACACAAGAGAATTAAATGGTAAAATATATATATATATATATATATAAAGATGCATTTATGCTAAATGTAGACAAAATTTTAACTCTTTAAAAAGTTTGATATATTTTTCAGATATTTGAAATTCATTGTTTTCAAAAGTAATAATAATATTTTTAATGCCTGTAATTTGAAAGATACTGTACTAAGTATTTCACATGTATAAACCTTCATGATACAATCACTTACAGTCCCATTTTACTGAAGAGGACTGGGCTCGGAGAGGTTAAGTGACTTGCATAAGGGTAACAGCTAGTGAATGGATTTGAGCCCAGACGGTCTAATTCCAGAGACTCTGCTCTTAACTACAATCTCTGCTGCCTCTAATAAATTTGAGGGCTTTCAAAGCCAGAAGTCAATGCAGTCATGCAGAACTATTAACGTGCTTGGCACATCTTGGGAGCAGCCAATAGAAGTAAATCAAAATATGCCATTATGTGAAGATATTTGTTAGCAAGCTGACCTGAAATGGTCACACAACATGAGTGGATACCTGGTGAGGTCCCAGTTTTGATTAATTTGGGGGCTTCTGAGTGCAAATTGCATGACACAGTGACCTGAAGCAAATGTGACAATCTAGTGGCAGGATGCAGCAACAATGCATCAGGCAAACAAGTATCCTAGAATTGAGGTGGGATACAGGACAGTTCAATGATCAAACCTAGGGCACCAATCTTAAAAATAAAGGGTAAAGAACTACATGGCTACATTTTCTATCCATGCAAGGATATAGACAGTGTCAAAGTACTTTAGCCCAATGTTTCTTGACTTTTCTTTTGTATTATTGCCCCAAAGGAAAAATTATAATATTTATTTAGTTTAATTTAATGAGTGAAATTAAATACTGAGAGATAAGATTTTATTAGGTACAGTTGTGCCTTGGAGGACACATAACTCTTGTAATATCTCAGATTTTTTCCCTCTCCCCACCCCAAGAGCCAACTCTCATCCACCTGCTGGAGATATTGCCCCATTAAAAAATAGCCAACCCCACATTTTTCATACCTGCAATTTCATCAATGAGAGCCCATTTTTAGCACCATTAGGCTAAGTAACAAAGCCTCTGGTGTTGCTGAGAAATGGCCAGGGCTGAATCCCTGGAACGAGGCCCTTCTGGTGACATGCTAGTTCCTCTCCTGGGAAGTGCGAATCCTGGTTAAGTCAACTGTCTGCCTGTAGAGAGTAGTTCAACCTGACTAATGTGTATGTAAGGTCACACTGCGTGTGCTGAAGTACTTTAAAATAAATTATGGATATAACAACAGGAATCCAGAGCAAGCAGGTGGGCAGAGAAAAGAGTTGTGTTCAGGGACTAGCCCAGACTCCAGTGGAGAGAAAAAATAGAGTTTGGCTATGGAGGAATATAGACAACACATAAACGAGAACTACAGTTCCTCTTCAGGTACATGAAATGATCTTTGAGGGCTCATAAACACCACATGTCATTTGGTGAGAATTAGGAGGACAAGAACAGTAGAACCTGAGAATAATAAAAATCACCTGTAGGGTTTGGGTAGGAAGCACATTGTCTGAGCTATGGGTTCTTCTCTCAAAAGACATGTTTCTTCTGCCGGGAGGAGTTCTGGTAAAGGCAAAGGCCAACACTTGCACTTCTAAACCAGACCAGTTCAGGGGGTTTTGCACAGCAGGACCAAAGGCTGGGTCTAGAATGATGACTTACTTGTTCTAATTCCAGTTCATGTGTGGCAGGACTGCTCTCTTGGTAAGAAAAATCTTCACGACTGGGGCTTTCATATTCATGAAAACTATGGGTCTTCTGCCTAGAAAAATGCATGTAGGCTTACAACAAATTTTGCATTTAATTTCACAAAGTTCAAGACCTATGGTCCCAGTGGTGAAATTGATTTGGAATATGATGAAATCTTTTGTTGCTCAGTTTTCAAGAGATGTTTGTGCCTTGGTGAATGATAATATTGTTGTATCATCATTTGTCATATTTCAATATTTATCTTTCCAGGGTTCTTGTCGAGGACACCAATCTTGAATTTTCAATGTTATATAAATGAAGGTTGTTTTCTCTTCACTGGTGCATCATTGTATTAAGCAAGCCTATAAATGGTCTTGCCCTTTGAAATTGTGTACTCTTAGAACAGCTTAGATCTCAGAGCAGCTGATTCCGCTTGGCAGGTGTGGGATGTGCGATTGAGTCATTCTGGAATCTCAAAGAGATACTTGTTAGAGGGAGCAGCAAACAGTGACTGATTCAGTAGCTCCTTGGCTTCCAAACAACCTGGTACTTACCACAGTTTACATTTGAAGGAAGCTCTGCCCCTTCTTTAGTGGTTGTTAGATGTAGGGGAGCTGAAAGGAAGACAAAAGCAGAAGTTCCAACAGGCAAGCACAGTGGGAAGTGTGGAAGAGGGGACTTTTTTCATGGCTTTTCTTTTTTCTTTTTTAAACCTATGTAAGAGAAGGCTTAGATAACTGAGGATAAAGATCTGGCAGTTTAATAGCAAATATGGTCAAGTCATGTGGAGCCTTTGTCAACTCAAAACAATAGAGCAGAGTGGTTAGGAGCTCAGGCCCTGACACTAGACTTGCATTTGGATCCTTGTTCACCTGCTTGTTGGCTGTTGTCCTTGCATTGCTCGGTGTTGCTGTTTCTCCATCCAGACGATGAGGAAGCTAATAATAGTATCCACCTCTTAGGATTGTTCGTGTACTAAATGAGAAAATACATGCAAGGCACTTAGAACAGTGCCTGGCAAACCCGTAAGCTCTCCACAAACATTAGCTCTTATCTGCAATCAAGTTCACTGCTGAATTACTTGAGTGTGATTGTACCATGCGCTGTGTGGACATGGCTGCCAAGGTCACTGAATGGTGAGCTTTTATCATTTTAGAGGATGTTCATGCTACAGTTCCTACTTACTTAAAAGTATAAACTGGATATCCAAAGTGCAGAATTTCCCAACAGCCTGCCCCCAAGTGCCTGCAATGTGTTCAGCCCCATACTAGGTACTATGGAACCTCTTAAAATTGCATGCCCATGTGCCTTTCTTACCTTCTATCTGATCTCTTGATCAGAGCTTGCTCTATATGGTTACAAATGCTTTTTAAAAAGTTTCGGAAAAGAAGTGGTGCAGGAGGTCAGAAGGCATAATGATGTAAGTATGATATGACGTCCTTGGGAATCTAGGAGTAGGAAGGGTGCATTTAGAATGAGACGGGGATGGTGGCTGCAAGGGCTTCTTGAAAGTGAGGGGCTTTGAAAAATCAGAGAGACAGATATGAGAAGGAAATGGATTCCAGGCAGGGGAAACAGTTACTGAGGGCTCAGAGGTGCCTGACGATGCAGTGTGTGTGATGGTGATGGTGGTGGAAGAGCAGGTACTGGAGGTTCTATGGATCCAGCAGAGGCAATGTGTGCAGCGGTGCTGAGAAAGGCCCTACTCACTGTGCTAAAGCCATAGGGGAGGAAATGGATTAAGGAAAAGTGTGGATGATTTTTGAATGCCAGGTGCTGTAGTTTTATGGGCAGTAGAGACTCCAAAATTTTTTGAGCATGATAGGACCTGTGCTCAAGGCAACATTTACAGACTACTGTGCTTTTCAAAGTACTTTTTCATACTATATTTCATTTTGTCCTGATAGCGAAGCTGTGAGATACCTAAGAGAGTCATCGTGTGCCTCATTTTTCCTAGCTGTCCCTTACCTGTTGCCCATAAAGCAGAAACATCAAGAGATCATCCCATTCACATCAAGAGAAGGATTAGGAGGAAGGGGACTGGGCAGTATGAGTGACCTGCAGACAAGGGCTTCTCCCACTCAGTGAAGCTACTTGTTTGGAAGCAGAATCTGCTTTTGTTCTAAATTATGTTAACCAGTTTAAATAAGAATGATGTCCTTATTCATAAAACTTATCAACCTTGTCATGATATCTTTAAATAAACACTACCAGTTTATAATTTAAGCCATAAGGCAAAATCTAACATTTGTACAGTGCTTTTAAGATGACCAAATATCATATTATTAGCTAATAAATTGACTTTCTCCATAACTAACAGGTAGGTTAAATATGATTAATATTTCTATTATAGAGATGAGGAAATTAAAACTCAGGTCCAGTGACCAGTCCAAGGTGGCACAGTTATAAATAGATGGACTCAAATTAAAGCAAGAGTTTGAACTCTAGATTCCTTCAAAACTTCCATGGTCCATATCATAATTTGCTAGCTGTTTCTGTTTAATGCAATTCAAATCATTATTGGACAGTAAGCTTCTGTAGGCTAAAGAGTGTTCTTGACTGCAATTAGAATTCTTCCTTGCTCGTGTCTGATTTATTCAAGGCCTGTGGGTGGGGTTTGGGGTGCCAAGATGGAAGACTACAGGTGGCTCATCTGAATCAGGATCTAGCCCTCTCTGCACGATACAGAAATTGGTCAATAGAGCTAAGGGACTCTACCACGCTGACTTGGTCATGAGACGTTGTCGCACTTTGTTGATTTTTTGGCCTGCCTTCCTCTCATCCCATCTTTCCCTCCTTTCACTCCCAGGCCAGAGGAGCAGGGAGAGTCTGACACTGGAGCCCTACCTTTTCTGGCAGGCCACCCATCTGCTTCAGGGTGTTGTTGGCTTTGACGCCTCAGTGGTTGGATTTGAGACTATCCTTAGGCAGCTATTATTTCTTTCTAATGGTTTCTTGGCCTTCAAAGCCAGTAGAAAGTTATTTTTTGCTTAGAGAGACCTCAAGATTTCAATGGGCATTTTGGTTTTGGATATTTAATTCCCTACTTAGTTCCTAAGAAATGAAAAGAGGCTCAGTCATTTTCAAAGAAGTGACTTTGTGAGTTGGCATGTCAGCTAGTGGGCCTACAGTTGAGCTCATGCTCTTCAAGACATACTTGTCTTAATAAGGCAGAGAAACAGATCATCTCCCTGTTGTTTTGCATAACCTAAAAGCCAACATTCCCACAGGGCAGTGGTGGATGTAAATGCTGGCACACATGCAAAAATGTTGAGAAACATTTGCAGTCTCTTTAGAACCTTGTAAGGTTAACACCATACATGGCCTGCTAGGTCAGCACATCCGAGTCCAAACGAGCTGAGTAACTAACTATGGGTGGTGAAGATTTACTAGTATGATGGGGAAAGCACAACATGAATACTGACCTATGTATCCCATAGCATATTCCTGTGTTTTCCAGGCAGCAGTAATGTCCTCCTCCAAAAACTGTTGCCAGTCAGCACTCTAGTGATAAAGTTTTGTAGAATGAACGGGTGCATGCCCAGTGTATTCATCACCTGGGCTTCAGTGAAGACATTCCTTTTACCAGAAAGGTTCTTTATCCAACAAATTCACTCTTTTTTTTTTTACAGTTTTATTGAGGTACAATTGATTTACAACGGACAGCCAATGTCTAATGTGTACAATTTGAGGAGTTTGAACGTACGCAAACACCTGTGATACCATCACCACAATCAAGGTAATAGGTGTATCCAACACCTCATGTCCTCTTGTCCCTTTGGTTTGTGGTAAGAACACTTAACACGAGAGCTGCCCTCTTAACAAAATTTGAACTTATTTGAACGTATAGTATTGTTAATTATAAATGCCATACTATACAGTAGATCTCTAGAACTTATTCATCTAGTATTACCAAAACTTTATACCACTGGAAAACCAACTTATTACTTCTCCCACCTCTCAGCCCTCAGAAAATACATATTCTTTGCTTCTATGATTTTGACTATTGTAGATACCTCATATAAATGGAATCAGCAGTATTTGTTTTTCTGTGGCTGACTTACCCAAATTATTTCTTATGTTCAGTCAACATATATTGTAAGAACCTTCTAGGTGCCAGGCACTGGATGTGAATAAGTCAGGGTTCACATGCTCAAGGAATTAACACTCTAGCAGGGGAGACTGATTAGTGACAAGTTTAAACAGGCCGTGCAGATGACAAACACAGTGCAGTGGGAGTGCACACAGGCACGGGAGCTGGGGATTGGCATGTCCAGCCAGAGGGTCTAACAGTTACAGCAAGCAAACAGATAGGAAATCAACTAAGGTTCAGTTCAGAGTTACTGAATGAAGTGATAGATAATAAGAATTACCATTTATTGAGAATTCATTAAGTTCAGAGTCTTTTGCATACATTATCTACTTTCCAAATTAGAAAACTGAGACTCAAAAATTTGCTCATATTAACACAACAAATGATTATCAGGGCTGGGTTAGGATATATTTGCCACTAACATTACTACATACCATGTGAATGCAAAGTTGGTTCTTGATTAATCTATCTATTCTTTATGACTATCCACTTGTCTGATATTATACTACTATCCTTTCATATCTAATTCCAACTTAATTCATTCATCAACTCAAGGTACTCTCTCGACACATCCCATCTATTTTTATGTTCCTTTTTTAAAATTTTTATATGTTTTTTATTTTATTTCAGAGTATTATAGGGGTACAAATGCTTTGGTTACATAAATTACCTTTGCACCACCCTTACAAGTATGTCATCCCCAAGACAGCACGTACCGCATCCATTAGGTGTGGATTTATCCATCCCCTCGACCCCCTCCCACCTGCCCAACAGCCTATGAATGTTACTTCCCATATGTGCACATTAGTGCTGATCGATTAGTACCAATTTAATGGTGAGTACATGTGGTGTTTGTTTTTTCATTCTTGTGATACTTCACTTAGAAGAATGGGCTCCAGCTCTAACCAGAATAATATAATAGGTAGTTCATCATTTTTTATGGATGAGTAGTACTCCATGGTATACGTACACCACTTTTTGTTAATCCACTCACGTATTGATGGGCATTTGGGTTATTTCTACATCTGTGCAAGTGTGAATTGTGCCACTATAAACATTTGAGTGCAGATATCTTTTTTATAGAATATAAAATATTTTTTAAATATATTTTTATATTTCACTTTAACATTTGTCATCATCCAACTTAGGCTATATTTCATTCCATCAATTCTAAAATGCCTATTCATTCATATTTTTATATCTCTGAAGTTAAGATACATCAAAGCATCAATGGCATGGCAGAGTTTGTGATATCCTTTTCATTGTTTATACATTAAAAACAACAGTGCATGTTTGAACTGATGGCATCTGAAATTCCTGAAGTATGCTGTATTTTATTTATGTTATATTGCTTATTTTCTGTCTTCTCCCAGCAGAACATAAGTTTTAAGAGGTCAGGGATTTTGTCAGCTGTTTTCACCTTGGTATCCCTCATCATTTGGAATTTTGTTGTATAGATTAATGACTGTATAGTTGTGGAGTGCCTACTATGTGATGGAAGCTGTGTGAGGTGCTGAACATAGAGTGCCCCCCAAAATAGACATGGTTCTTGCCCTCCTGGAGGAGATGCAAGTTAAAGAAATAAGCAAACGCATAAAAAATGTGCAACTTTATGTGTAAAGTTGAGAGAAGTGAAAATACTGCAAATGCTGTACAGCAAATAAATGGTGGCTGCGGTGTTTTTCAAATTAGATTGGAAATTCAGGGAGGACCTCTCCAAGAAATCGATGACAAAGCTGACACCAGAAGGGTGAAGACAGTAAGTCCAGGAATCCAGACTTATGTGCTGCTTGGCACACGTAGCAGCCTTTCTTGACTCTCCTAGTCTAAAATATTTTCTCCCCTCTTGTAACAATGCATGATGCTCGTTATATCTGCATGCACTTTCAGTTATACTTTTGCAGATATCCTTTCTGTACACCTAGATCACAAATTCATTGATCTCTTCTGGTAGAATGGCAAGAACGCTGGATTAGGACACAATAGCCCTGGGTGGTAGCTCCAACTTTGCCCCTACTTTACAAATTGGAGAAGCTACATAAACGCTCCAATCCTCAGTGTCTTTGCTTGTATAATTAGCAGATTATAAGGTTAGGGATTCCCTAAGGTTTCATTGAGCTTTAAGATTTAAATTCTATAATTATTATTCTATTTTAACAAACAGTTATTGAGGAGTTACTGTGTGCTAAGCTGCTAAACTGTCTGCAGTCCACTGGAGAAACTAGGATGAAAGAAAAGGAAAAGACACAACATATTCATTTAAGGTACTTAAAGATCTTGAGAAGGAGACTGATATGTTGATGACTTCAATCTAATGCAACATAGAATCTCCTCTGCTTCCGAATATTCAACTGTTATAATTCTCTTTCCTGAACAGTTAGTCCCATCACCTTGTACCCCCTTAGTAAAGGCACTTAACTGCCTGCCACCAACAGATTGTGCAAGTGTTCACATCAACTAGACGCTGTTGCATTGGATTTTAGAGCCAATGAATGAGAGGCAGATCTAAGAACCTAAGTTATTTATAGGAAAATAAACATCTATATCCCAGGGTATCATGAGAATTAAAAGGGTCACTTTGGTCCACCTCCATGCGGATGGGGGTACTGTGGGGTGGGTCAAAGAGTCTTTTGAGGGAGGCTTTGTAGGGCATTGATTTCTCAGCTGAGTTTTGAAGGAAGAGAAAGGATTAGGCAAGTATATTTCTTGGGATGCCTTCAACTGCGTAACACAGAATACTAACTAAATGTGGATTCAATAAGAAGTGCAATTATTATTCCATCTAATATAAACTACAAAAGCTGCAAAATTCCAGGCTTAAATGCAATCTCAAGGGCCCAAAATGTCCCTGAGGACTCAGGCTCTTTCTACCTTTCTGCTGTCACCCTCAGAATGCCAGTGTTTGTTCTTAAGTTTTTCCCCCTCGGTTGCAAGATGACTGTCAAATCTCTTGGAATAGTATTTTCACACAACTGTATAAAAAGAAGGCTCCAGGGGGCCATGTTTTCTCAAAATTCTCTTTACCAAAGAGAAGAAGCATGCCCTTCCTGCCCCGTTTTCTCCAGTTCTCACCCTAGCCTCAGCAGACATCCCGTGAGTTTCCCCGGCTGGGCCACGTGCACATGCTAAGCATGCAAGGGAGGCCGGGAAGTGTGTACCTGAGATTTCCAGCCTCCATATGGTGGGGTAGATTCTGTCTGCTAGGAGGAGGTGTGAGTGTGAAGGAGGGAAGAGGTAAGTGGAGTGATTGCTGGCTACACCTCCAACACTGTCTTTCAAAACAGGAAAAGAAGGAAATGGGAGTTATTCATGTATCTCATGCTCAGGACCTGGCACAGTGTTCTCCTTTCTGCTGTGTAGGTGCTCAATGGATACTTGTTGACTATAAAATCATTATCATGGAAATAGAAAATCATTGTTGGTTCAGGTAAGTGAGTAGTGAAATTAGTTATTCTTTCCAGGCCATGACTGGCTGAAAAAAAAAAAATTAATTCTGTCACTTGAATGAGTGGCTCTTGATATTTTAGTGGATGGTTAAACTGAAACACTAATTCAACTTCAAGAGAGGTAGTGGTGGCACTTTTTAAGACCATGTCTAATGTGGAAACGATTATATAATCCAAAAGCAAATCAGGGAAAAATTTGAGTTAAGTGGAAAAAGACTAGAAATGAAAGTTTACTGAAAAGACTATGTGTGGGGTTTTAATGAAAACAACAGAGTGTAAGACGGTCCCAGGGATATGGAAAAAATTTAGCAGATCCTAATAAAGTACTTACTGTTTGTTGATTACACATGGAAACTCACAGCATGGAAGTAGGACACCAAATTAGTCAATTTTTAAAAATCAGCTATGTACACAAGCAGACATTAACATTTTTTTTTGAAAAAAAAGCAAAACAAAAACTTCCTTTGCCTTTCCTACAAACAAAACAGAAAGCCATGAAGTTGTTTTCAGACTATAATGACAACAGAAAGAATATTACATACAGACTGAAAGAAGAAAGAGGTCATTCTGTTGGAAGAAGTGAATTATTTTAAATAATTTGTATGAAGTAATGCAGGAAGATTTCAAAATGAACTTGTCATAACACATTGATCCTTTGAAATGACTTTTCTCTATGTCTTTTTAAGCCTGTCAAATCCTTTTGCAGAATTGTGGGAGCTTGCCTGGAGAATGGAAAACATTAGGGAAGAATAAAAGGTATGGGTTATTTCCCACTGCTCTTTCTTAGATGAAATTGCCCCATTTTTTAATGACTGGAATTATTTGACTCCAACCACAGTGTATTTTCAGTGGTTTCTTCATCTGCAGTTTCATTCTTCGGCTCTACTTCACACCAGCTTTCTTCTCACGAAGGCAGAGGCATTCCATACACAGGAAAAAGGGCTGCAAAAGACCATATTAGGTTGGCTCATCTTTAAGTGTTTCCAGGTTCACAGTGTCTGCTGTGATGTGTCAAAACAAGTACCGCATTTTAACTGTAAGTCTCTTTTTTCCACCTAGGCTAGGGTCACAATCTTTTTGGAATGGTGACATGCTTTTGTTAGTCAACTTTCTAACACCACTTGGAGTCCCTAGATTCCTTCAAGTCCTTGAAGATAATGATGCAGTTTCTACACTTCTTTCAGTACCCAATAAGATCCAGTAAAATGTTTTTTTTCCCCAAGATTCTATAGCACATAGACAGCTTTTACATACACACAGGTGTCTACTTGGCTTGGCATGACAAATTGGAATCTCTAAGGTTAGAGCCTGGCAAAAATACTTGGAAATACTTATTTGATTTATTCTGATGTAAAAGTGTGCTTTAGAACCTTGACCTACTGGAAATGATAAATTTACCCTCAAAAGAGAAAAGAAAAGAAAAGAAAAGAACTGGAAATAAAACCAAAGGCTGCATAGGCAGCTCTTGACTCTAACTATTATGATACCTTAATAAAATGGTAATACTGAAAATTGGTCTAGTATAATAGTTAAGTGACTGATTCCCTGGATTCAAATTGCTGCTCTGCTCTGTGACTTGAATCAAATTAGGTAGCTTCTCTATGCCTCAGTTTACTCAGTTATATATATAAAGAGAATAATAGCTATAATATTTTGAAATTAAGTTATGTATTACATATAAAACTAAATTCTCATATAGTATTTACTGAGAGAAAGTACTCAATATCAACTTTTATTATCTCTGGCTGTTCAGAATCTCAGATTTGAAGTTAAATGGTATTTGATTAATGTTATATTTGATAACAAAATACAGGAACACAAATGATAATAAACAAAGGCCTTTTATTTAGTAGCTAGAATATTTAAAAACCTAAGATTTATGTGGGATTTTGTTTTAGGTCCTTGGTATTATATTGAGTCCATACTTTAATTTAAATAATTATATTAGTATTGAGAATGCCAGAATCCCCTTTACCAGCATTAGTAAAATCCTAAGATATCATAAAATGACATCTAGAAATTACTGGCTTGGATAATTAAGGATGGTGTTATTTCCTGCAGGATAGGAGTACTTTGGACTGGATTATCCAATAAGAAGATTAAGAATGCATTTAGTGCAACAAGAAGGCATGACAAGAAAATGAAAGTTCTTTAAATGAAATTATTCAATATAGATATTTTTTAAAAAAGCATTTCGTTAATAATCAAGATAAAAGTAGATGTTTGTTTTTTGTAGCTCTTTCTATTTATTTTGTGCCTTAAAGTTTTTTTTAAATTTTTAATTACAAGTGAGAGTGGGACACTGTAATCCTTTCAGTGTTTGGGAGTCATGACACTTTTTAGTGTCCTGAATCAAACTGACTTTTAGGGATGTGGGAATTCTATGTGAGCAACTTCTTTTAGACAGTGTTCTCACGCAGTGATACCATTTTGGGAGTGGAGTTAGTGGAAACTGCCTAACTAAAACCTTGCTCTTATCCTCAAATGTATGGCATAGACACTAAGCCTTCTGGATCATGAAATAGACAGGAGCCATCTGACACATAAATCCTCTTTCAGCACCTCTGATTTACCATGGACCAGCTTTGCTGACTTTGTAATAGACTGTCAGCTCCACAGACAGCAGGACCAGGTGCTCTCGGAATTCCTAGCCTCAGCACCAACAGTGTGAGCCTCCCAGAATGTTGGACTTGAAGGGGTCTTGTGGTAGACTGAATAATGGTCCCCCAGTGATATCCACATTATAATACCCAGAACATGTGAATATCTTAACTTACATGGTAAAAAGGAATTTACATATTTGATTAAATTAAGGATCTTGAGATGGGGAGATTATCCTGAAGTATCCAGTGGGCCCAATCAGTCAGTGGAAGCAATTGTGACAATGGAGGCAGAGACTGGAGTGATGAGGCCATGAGACAAGGAACGCCAATAGTCTCTAGAAGCTGGAAGAAGCAAGGAGAGATTCTCCCTTGAAGTTTCTAGAAGGAAGCAGCCCCGATGATATTAATACTTTGATTTTAGCCCCATAAGACTCATTTTGAGTATTAAGAGATTGAGGTTGAATCCAGATTCTACTATTTTATTTTCTTAATGAACTTACCTATACATGGTAATATTAACATCTATTTTCTAGGTGGCGTTCAAAGAATCAAATGAGGTAATATATGTTAAGCATTTAGCAGTGTCTGGTGTATAGCGGACTCTCAATATATGTTCATGCCTTTTCCTTTTTCCTTCAAAAGCAGGCATGACTAAGTACTTGCTGATGCTTTTGTATCTTTGAGAGGTCCTTAGAGGGCATTGCAGCTCTTTGCATGTTATAATACCTTTTCACACACATACTCTTTTTATCATCCCAATAATTTTATGAGCAAGTACTATAATTATGCCTATTTTATAGATAAGGAAACTGAGGCTCAAAGAGATTAAGCCACTAGATCAATGAGCACAAAGATAATCCTTGTCACAGCTATGACTTGCACGCCAGTCATTGGACTCAGAGCCCCTTTTCTTTATAGTCCATACCCTTTTTCTGAGATTTGCTTGGAGCCTGACTTTGCAGTGGCCAGGATCAAGCCAAATTATCACTACCTCTGTCTGCTAGTCTTTCTGTTTTCACTACTATTAGAAACACTTGACCTAAGGTGAACTCTAGGCATGCTGAGCCTTCACTGGAGAAAGGGAGTTGGGTTAGTGTTAGGTTGAGTATGGCCTCTGCTTTCCATAAGACTGGAATACCACATTCTGATCTTAGTAGGGTCTCAGGCAACCCCAACAAAAGAAAGAAAGATGTGCTCATGGTGTTTCTATCCTTCATCCACCCCTGGGACGCTGGTATGCATCATGGCAGGATTACCTCTGAATGATTGAGTTTCTCTGCTGAAAGTCATAGATTGCTTCAAGGCATGCCTCTCTTTTCCTGGGTTCTATTATTCATGCCATTTCCTCATTTTGGGGTGTGCCTAGAAGTGGTAACAGTCTCATGGTACTATACACCAATATAAATAATGCCTTACTAAGCCTTCCTCAATTTAGCCTAATTTCCTGATAGAAACCCAAGTGAGAAAATAGGTGGCTCCAAATAGTTATAGGAAGATCTAACCTAGGTAGATAATGGCTGTTGATATTAGTTTCTTTCCCCACTCCAAACTAACATCCTCAATTCCACAATGTAATTTTAAGACTGTTTTCTCTTTCAAAGGCACCCTATGTAGTAATTTTAATTAGCTTTCCCCTATATATAAAAATTGTTAGGGGTATGGCTATGTAAACATTGTGAGCAATTTTTAATAACCTTAATCTCAAAAAAATAGCCTAGCTGAATTTCAGAAGTAGTAGAATATAATGTAGTGAAAGCAGTAGTGTCAGATTACCTGGTTAAATATCTCATTTCTACCACTTGCTAACATTCAGATCCCAGTTTGCTTAACATCTTTGTACTTCAGTTTCATCTATTACAAATAAATTTTGCCTAATGGGTTAAATGAGTTATTATATGACAATAAATCTTGCCCTAAGATAGACGTTTGTGTGTGAGGCACCCTGAGAATCCACATGAAAGTAAACCAAAGCCTTGGAGCGCTATGAGTTTTTGAAAGAACCACACAGCATTCCTTCAAAGTCACATGGAAACTGTAGACACTTTGCTAATGTGCTAAAGATCAGGCAATATTGCTTCACAGAAAAGCAAACACATTCCATAAGCTGTTCTCAAATTGTTTCAAATGTATTTGTCCCCATCTCATCTCCTGGTGATTTCTGCCAGAGAAATGTAACATTCTCCAGGGAAATTCTTGGTACTTTATTCAGTAGGTAAACACCAGAGTGTCACCCACATGTGACAGTAAAAATTCTCAAAGGGGATCGCTTCAGGAGCTTTTGACAGCTCCATCCAACACTCCCTTCTGAAACCAGACTTCCAGCCTCTGTCACCTTAGGATTAATTCCTACTTTACTGCCTCCCACCCCCACTCCCAGCTCATCCTTTTATTAGTTCAAGTTTTGGTCAAACTGAATGAATTTGTGTGCTGCTAATACCTTTTATGTGTCGCCCTGCAAACCCCCTTCTTGAAAAGTGGCACTTGGTGTATTTAGATACTTTTTATTTATCCCTTGGTAGTCATATTAGTCTTGAGTAGGAAAAAATTATGTTGGGTTTATACCTGAATTCCTGACACTGCAATTCGTTTATTTATTTATATTCATTTCTACCAGTCCAGGTCTCTGGAAGGAAACAGAGACCCCTGGCATTGGAATGTGAGGGCTTATCTGTAACTTCTGGTTTTATTCCATTCTTGGCCCCAAGAGAGTCAAATAGCTACTTCCATGTTCTACTTTCTCCTTTGCCTTCTGGGGCTCAGAGTTCCTGCTCGTACTACCTCCCAGGAAGAATGTGAGAGTCTGTTTTATGATTTCAAAATTTATGTATCCAACCTAGGCCTTTCCCCTGCACTCTAGATGTCTGTCTGGAAATGTCTAACAGGCATCTCAAACTTGGCACCTCCAAGATAGAACTCGTATTTTCAACCTGTACCCTCACCTCCTCAAAAAGTAAAATAAAAACAAGCAAAAAAAGCCCTAAACCAAAATGAAACAAAAAGTCCCACTTGTCACCTAGTCTTCCTTAGGCAAGTAAATAGTAACTTGAGTTTGTCTGGCTAAAAAGCTTGGCATTGTCCTTGCTCCTCTTTCTCTCATAGTCCACATTCACTACATCAGCAAAACTATGAGCTCTACATTCAAAGTCCATATAC